AATAATTTCTGCGATCATTCCGGCTTCACCAACAAAACTCTCGATCCGATAGCAAATAAAAATTTATTTGATCTGCTTGGAGATGACTGGCGCGAAATGCGGAAGCTTCTTAGTCCCAGCTTCACATCTAGCAAGATAAAGATGATGTTTGGACTTATTTGCCAGTGTGCCGAAAACTTAGTCAATTTTGTGACAACGCAATCCATAGAAGCTGCCAAAACGTATGATATGAAAGACTTACTTTCCAAATACACTACCGATACAGTGGCCACGTGTGCCTTCGGTATTGACGTGAATTCTTTTAAGCATCCGAACAATGAGTTCTTTTTACTTGGCAAAGAATCGTTCAATTTTAATGGCTGGTTGGTCTTCAAGTTTTTAATGCAAAGAAACTTCCCGCGACTTGCGAAACTCTTTAAACTGAGAATGTTTGGCGTAAAAGTAGAGAATTTTTTCAAAGATATTGTTGCTACCACAGTGAAGACCAGAGATGAGCAGGGAATTATTCGCCCGGATGTAATTCAATTGATGATGGAGACAAGGAACAATGATAGTGGACGTGAGTACGACATTAACGATATGACAGCCCAAGCGTTTGTTTTCTTTCTCGCCGGGTATAATGCCATATCAACAGCTATGTGTTTTATGACGCACGAAATCGGTGTCAATTCGGATATTCAGAGAAAATTGAGAGAGGAAATCGACGATGTTGTTAGGCAGACCAACGGCAAACCTACCTACGAGGCTATCAATTGCATGAAGTATTTGGACGCCGTGATAAATGAAGCTCTCAGACTGTATCCAATAGGACCTTTTCTTGACAGAAAATGTGTTAAGGAAACTAAATTACCACCAGCAACTCCAGATGGCGAACCGATCACGATAAAACCTGGTGATAGTGTATGGTTTCCGAATTATTGTCTGCATCGTGATCCAAAGTACTATCCGCATCCAGATAAATTCGATCCAGACAGATTCCTTAACGGAGATGTAAACAAATCGATCTATATGCCATTTGGTATCGGACCTAGAATCTGCATAGGTAACAAGTTTGCGCTAATACAAGCAAAAGTCATGCTGTTCTATCTACTTTGGCGTTGCGATCTCGAACCCGACATTAAAACTCGAATTCCCATGGTGTTAAAGAAGCAAACACTTCTTATGATGGCGGATGGAGGTTTTTGGTTGAAGTTGCGAATGAGGAAATTGGAGGCCTTTGTTAACACAATGTTTATTGAACAGACATAAAAGGAACAGTAATAATACATATTTACATTCTTTTTATACGTATAATTATATACTTTAAAGATCCTTTAAATTATAACACGAGCTTTCTCTTTAAACATGTAAAAATTCACCTTTTCCTCAATTAAACGTATAAAAAATAAAAAATTTGATAAAAGCTGTTATTTTAAATATGTATAATTACTTTTTATTAAAAAAAGATAAAGTAAAAATTTCTTAACATTAAAAATGTGTGTGTGCGTGTGCGTGTGTGTGTGTGTGTGTGTTATTATAACACACAATAATTCTAGTACTCTTAGTATAACATACAATTCCTTTTTTATTGTTTTTATTTATATATATTAGATAAATTTTAGAAATAATATGTAATAGATGTTTATGTTTTACTCATTTTATATTACTCTTACCATTTATGTTTTAAATAACATAATTTTATATTAAATGTTTAAGCTAGTAACACTAACATAAAGCATATTTAAAGTATAATGTAATACAAAATGTTATTGTGTGCAATACAAGTAAATTGATGTTAAATATTTTAGTTCAGTGAATTTTTTAAACGGTGTATAAAAAAATAATAGATATAAGCAGTTTCTAATTATTGTTAATTTACAAATTATTGTCTCTTTACAAATAGTTACATGTAAAGGATTCGAACAATTTTAACAATCTTTTTTAGTTAAATCTAATTTTTACGACAAATATAAAATTGATATAGCAATAAAAGGTTTACTTAAAATGGAAAATCTTTACTTTCAATGGCATGATCCAAAATGAGATTTTAAATCGTTATATCAGTAAAATTACATGATAATACTTAAACAATTTCAAACCTTAGCCTTAAACAGGAGAAACCGATGCTCACTACATTTTTCACTCTTTCGACACTAGCTTTCTAAACAATTAATTATGACTAAAATGTATTAATATGATAGAAGAAACCTTTCTCTACATTGTATTTTCATAAGGAATGGTTACATATGTACATTATATAGTTTCTTCGTAGTAAGTAAAATACGAACATGCTGCACTGTATAATCATCTTACTCCTATATTGAAATAAATTGATGTAGATCGCGGTATAAGTTCGCTGTGCAATAAACTATAAGTATATTAAGTTAATGAAAACCTAATAGAAAAATAAAAAACAGATCACACACTGAAAAAAAGATTGGTTGCTGCAACAATTTAGATAGTAAAATATGGCATAGCATTTTTATATAGCTGCAACAACCAGTTTTTGGTTGTAGCAGCCAATTTTTAGTTGCGTTAGCCTATCTGCAATGTCAGTATATGATTTCGATAAAAACTGGTTGTTCCAGCTATATAAAAATGTTATGCCATATTTTATTATCTAAATTGTTGCAGCAACCAATCTTTTTTTTCAGTGCAGATATGTACAGGGTGTTACAGATACATACTAGGCAGTACAACGGGTTGCGCGGCAAATTTTGCATGGGTAGGCGCCCGGGGGTAGGTGCTTAACCTATGCAAAATTGCCGTGCAACCCGTCGTACTGCCTAGTATGTATCTGTAACACCCTGTACATATGTACAGTAAACATATTTTTTAAAAAAGTATATAAAAAGGCTCTGAAGTTAATAATTAAACAGTATGTGTATGTGTGATGCCTATGAGAGCCAACACAGGGTGAACATGTGTAAAAAACAGTTTGTTTGAGAAATTCTATAACGATAAGCGTATACGTTTCGACCTCCGGTTCGGGTCCTCTTCAGTACAATAATCCTTAATAATTTAAACAGTAACGAAGCGCTGCGATGATTGTGTCCAGTCGTTTTGGATTTAACATTAACTTGATAGAATTACTAAGAAAATGCAAAAAATGCAAAAAAATTTTTTTGGATGTTATATATAAAAAAATTTTTCGATATGTGCATAGTGTATACAATGACAGACAAGAAAAGAAAAATTCACTCACATGTCATAAGAATCAATATTGTGTTAAACATGATATGTGCTTCAAATTGTATCCCGTCATCACATTAGAATTGCACTATACAAACCAACACAATATTTAAAGATTTGAGAAGAAGATTATAATTTTCAATTATTATAATTTTCAATCTTCAAAAATTATCTCACAATAGTAAACGGTTCAATTTTTGAGATGAAAAACGTTGGAGACATCATTTTGTCATGCAATACTCCAATCGTTGCGCTAGGGTGAAAGATTGCTGATGAAGACTCAAACCATGAGTGGAAACGTTCAAAGTTAAGGTTTACATTTTTAGTATTAAGAAATATTGTGCTAATTGATAACCAGCGTCGACTCCTATTGCCTGTATTACGTATTTCATGATTTTATTAAGTGTACATTGTTTTACATTCTTTACATTATTAATTTTAGAAATTACATTAGTTTGGCTCATAGCTCCTAGTTTTGACACTTTAAATGAAGAATATTATTACGAAATTATAAAACGCTAAAAAAATTAAATGTCTCCTCTTGAATCAAATTTTTCTCTTCTTATTGTAACATTTATTTGATTGTTGCCATAAACTTGTTTGATTAAAATGAAACTTTGGAGAAAGAACCCACATTATAAAAGAGATTCTTTGCAGTAACTTTTCCATTGTTTTCTTTGCCATAAATACATAAATGGCAATGCCAACTTGCTTGTTGTGCCAACAAGCATCGGTCTCCTCTATAAAGAGCACTGACATATTTGCACATATTTTCTTTGGTCATTTTCCTTATTATAAAGTATCCTCATTTTATCATATTTTCTTGAAATAGAAAAGAAAACGAAAGACGGATTAACAAAATTGTTATAAGATTTAACATTATTTTTGACTAAAACTAATTTTCAATTTATTTTTCGTTAGATATTATAGGACGTTTATGTCAATTTGTGAGGGTACAATATATTCATGGTCAAGTGTATATGGAAACACAAACAATAAATAAAAATTCATATAAAAATAGAATTGTTTAATTATGAAAGAAAAACATTTTTATATAATATTACAAACAGTTAAAAAAACAATTTACTCTATTTTGGTTAATTTCAAAATCTTGTGTCAGTATTATTACAGAAAACGTGTGGTTAAAAATAAAAAAATATATTTATGATTTCTGATAAAAGTAACAGTTACAAATTTAGTTACTTGTTGCATTATTTCTTCTACTATTAGTCACGATAAGTTGAAAAATACATCAAACGTAAGATTATATAAAGAACAAATGAGTAAAAAAAAAAATAAACATTAATTCCTATTATGCTTTTATCATTTATGTATCCAATTGGATAAAGACATAATAAATATTATAAATTATTTAAACGATATTGTATATATTACTTCATTAAAAAACGTTGAACAATGATATTGTTAAAATAAAACACTAATTGATTTTTTCTCTAATCCAATTCATTTAATAAAAATGATAACTATCGTATATTAATATAATACTGCGCTTCTCTTAGCATCGAGACACTACGGTCTCCAGATGAATATATTTGTGAAGAATGACGAAGAATAATTATTATCTCAAGGAGATACCAAAGCAGAACAACAAGTTATTACGATATTAAAATGATTTCAAAAAGACTTCAGAATAATCATTAAAATTAAATTTTCAATCATTTTCCATTCATTTTAATGTCATTTTGACGTTATCGTGACTTGTTGTTCTGCTTGAATAGGAAAGGTGACTTTGCAACGTTTAGATACTTCATATTTACGCAACTTTCGATATCAGTAATTTTATTGTGGCGTGCATACAGCATGCAGCAGTTAGTAACAGAATCTCGCTCGTTATACGTGCATCTCATCACTAGTCAATCCGGAAATTCTTGTCGTGATGGAGCTTTTTACTTTACTTCTGTTTATTCTAACAGCAAGTATCTGCTTGTATTATGTTCTAAATAAGTTATTTTTTAAATTATCTTACTTCGAGCAACTGAAAATTCCCCATGTGCGACCAATTCCAATATTGGGAAACATGGCACCTTTTGCTTTTCAACGTATGTGCCATATGGAGCTTCAACAAAAAATGTATAACCACTTCTCGAACGCAAAGTTCTTCGGCTTCTACGATTTTATAATGCCAATCTTTGTTATTCGTGATCCAGATTTGATTTCCACAATCGCTATAAAGCAGTTCGATAACTTCTGCGATCACCATGGTTTCGTCAATGAAACTCTCGATCCGATAGCCGGCAGAAATCTGTTTAACCTGAAAGGGGATCACTGGCGCGAAATGAGGAAACTTCTTAGTCCCAGTTTTACATCCAGCAAGATGAAGATGATGTTTGGACTTATTTGCCAGTGTGCAGAAAACTTCTCCAATTTTGTAGTAGTGCAGACCGAAGAAGCTGCCAAAACGTATAATATGAAAGATTTACTTTCTAGATACACCAACGATACAGTGGCTACGTGTGCCTTCGGTATTGAAGTGGATTCTTTTAAAAATCCGAACAACGAATTCTTCTTACTTGGCAGAAAAGCATTAAATTTTGATAGCTGGTTAGCTTTCAAGTTTTTAATGCATAGAAACTTCCCGCAACTTGCGAAACTCATCAAGCTGAGAATGTTCGGTCCAGAGGTAGAGAATTTTTTCAAAGATATTGTTGCAACCACAGTGAAGACCAGAGATGAGCAAGGAATTATTCGCCCGGACATGATTCAATTGATGATGGAGACCAGGAACAAGAACACCGGCCCTGAGTACGACATTAACGAAATGACGGCCCAAGCGTTTGTTTTCTTTCTCGCCGGATTCGATACTATATCATCAGCTATGTGTTTCACAACGTACGAAATTGGTATCAATCCTGATGTTCAGAGAAAATTAAGAGAGGAAGTCGACGATGTTCTTAGGCAGACCAACGGCAAACCTACCTACGAAGCTATCAATTGTATGAAGTATTTGGACGCCGTGATAAGTGAAGCTCTCAGATTGTATCCAATAGCATCTTTTCTTGACAGAAAATGCGTTAAAGAAACCAAACTACCACCAGCGACTCCGGATGGTGAACCGATCACGATAAAGCCTGGAGATAGCATATGGATTCCAAATTTCAGTCTGCATCGCGATCCAAAGTACTATCCGCATCCAGATAAGTTTGATCCAGACAGATTTCTTAACGGTGATGTAGACAACTCGGTCTATATGCCATTTGGTATCGGACCTAGAATCTGTATAGGCAACAGGTTTGCCCTAATGCAAGCAAAAGTCATGTTGTTCTATCTACTTTGGCGTTGCGATCTCGAACCCGACATTAAAACTCGAATTCCTATGGTATTTAGCAAAAAAATGTTTCTCATGATGGCGGACGGAGGTTTTTGGTTGAAGTTGCGAACAAGAAAATCGAAGGCTCATGTTACATGTGCTTATTGAGCGGACATAAAGTTGAGGAATAGTGAATCATACATTTTTCGTTTTAAGCATGATATTATTGGGGACATGCATAAGTTTCCACGACCTTTTTAATAATGTATTTATTAATATAAACAAATATTTCAATCAAAATATTTTTTTTTAAATCTATCACTTTTTGTAATCTTCTAGACAGCTTATAAACACTGCAGCGAAATAATAATGCGGCTTGCTTTGAAAAGCGATTTAGTGTTTACTTCGAAATCACTACATTTAAATGTTTTAAATCAATTTCGGCACGTTCTTGATAACGCAATATTATTTCTGTAAATCTCATCAATTTTTCTTGTTGTTTTAGTGGCGGTTGTACCGCAGGAAAAATAGTGTAATCGTGAATATGTACAATATTTTTTCAGCGTTCACTTCCAATTAAACTAAAAGTGTAGTTATTTTAATTGCAAATTGTTATACAGCTTTCGAAATACAGGTTGAGTAATTTTAATGGAAGATTAATTGGACGCCGAAATTTAAATACACTTTTATTAGCATATTTAAAGTTGCTCGCGGAAGAAGTTATTTATACACCTAATATGTAGAATTTAAAGTTGACCATTTAAATTATAGCGAGAGATTTCTTTAAATAAACATGTAAATAATTTAAAGTTTTAGAGAAGGTATTTTTTTAAATATACATTGTTATTTTTTCTTAAAACAAAGTAAAATTTCAACATTAAAAATTTTAATAAAATACAGTAATTATAGTTTCAGTAATATGTAGGTACGCTTAATTCCTTTTTTATTATGTTTATTTATATATGTTTAAATTAGATAAGCTTTGCGAATAATAATGAATATTGATTTCGTATTATTCCATATTGTTAATGTAGCCCATTTTTTAAGAAACAAATTTATATTAAATTTTTAAGTTAATAACATTTACATAAAAAAAATTTTAAATACGATATGATAGAAAATTTTGCGCTATTGAGTAATATAAAAAATAAAATATTGTTAAATGTTTTAATATGACTAATTTTTTAAACTAGGTATAAAAAAATGTGAACATTTTATTATTATTCGATTATTATATCACTTTAGAATTGGTTATGTAAAAAGTATTTGAGAGAGAGAAAGAGAAAAAGAAAAATTTTAATTTGTAAATTCACTAATGGCTCGCAAATTACAAACATAAATTATAAAAAGCATTCAACCACAGGCAAGGTGTTTTTTGCGAATGTTATATATTTAAAATTCTTACGTTACAGAAACAAATTATAGACGTTTCGACCTATATCTTCAGTATACAATATAAATAATATAAAAATAATTAGAAGTCATAAGATTAAAAGAATTGAATTAAATAAACGATCAATAATTCTTAGTCATAAGATTAAAAGAATAAATTAACAATAAATTTTTGTTCGAATTACAATCTACGCTTGTGTATGTTGCCTAAAAATCTTTGCTTCTATTCGTCCTAATGAGACTTTTATATTGAAAATTATTGCTTCTATTCAACTTTTAATTTTTAATCTAAATATAAAATTTATAATTATAAAAAATCTATTTAAAATATTTCAAAGAAATATATCATAGTTTCGAATTATAATTCAAAATATAATTTTAAATCGTTCTGTCAATAAAATTAATGATAATATTACTTTGACAATTTGTAAAAGGAATAATTGAAGTTAAAGGAAATTGAAAATTTTGTAAAAGAAAGAAAATTATTTTTTTTAATTATATTTTTGAATATATTTTATCACGTATTTCAAATTATTAGTTTGATAAAATAATGAATTTAACGTCTTCATTGAATACGAAACATATCTTGTACAATTGCGTAATAGAGTACTTCGATTAAAGATTGCATAATTAAAGATTATAAATGATAAATTATACAATTTTATTCAGTTTCATTCTTTAATCACGTAAAGAAGAATGAAAAGTTGGACAATATACACATTTTTCTAGTTACGTAATGTACTTATATAATGCGTATGTATGTATGTTAAAATAATATATAAGTAATTAAATATCTTATTGTTAAAATATGTTTTTATCTTTTTAAATATAATAAACAATTTAAAAAATGTATTAATTTTTTAGAAAAGGAAAAGAAAGAAAGAGAGGGAAAGAATTGAAATAAAATTTGATTATATAAACTATAGCTTATACGTATAATAGTATAATTAGTGTATGTATGATGATTTTAAATAACTAATAATATATTTTGTCTAGAATAATGAAGTATCTTATCATTGTATGTATATTAAAAATAGTACATTGAAATACAGCAATAAATTGTTAATTAAGCCTTAAAAATTTTTTGTCTGGCCAGATAAAATAAACCTCTGTAAATAAACAAACTCTCGAAAGTACGAATAAAGTATTTCCAATTTTTTAGTTAAAAAGTTGCATAACTTCTTGCAATTAAATATAAAAAATCGTTCAGTGTCTATAATATAATATTAATTGAGTAAGTATAATACTTATTTATTGTTTCGACATTTATACTTTTACTTATTGACCATGATAATGAATATACACTTTTATCTTCAATTACTAATCATGATAAATTATGCATTACTTATTGTTATTACATTGACTGGTTATAACATAATTTTTTCTTACGTTCAGATTACGTTCTTTATGCGTTTATTATTCTGCGATGCTGTGTATAACATCAAGATATATCCAGAAACTTCTTTTTCCCGTACAGTCTTTCAATTGCTTGTGAATGATGCACTGATACATTGTAAAAAATAAAATGTTAATTTTAACTTAAAGACGTTTAATGGACTTTCTGAGACATGCAAAAATGTTAAAATTAACATTTTTGTGTTAATTTTAACATTTTTGCATGTTTCAGAAAGTCCATTAAACGTCTTTAAGTTAAAATTAACATTTTATTTTTTACAGTGTAATTAACTTTTAATCTAACTCAACACGAATGATAAATTTTATATGTCAATAACTCTTGTGACAGCAAAACTTATTAAATCGACGTGATCTTAACGACATTCTGCAACTTGAAGCAAAAATCAATATACAGTAAAAAAAAATCTTGGTATCCAGTAATAATCATTAGGGTAACTCCGGTATATAAGTACGCCGCACCTATCAAAAACTTAATTTATTAAGTATTATTTACTATGTTTAAAATAAACGAACTATATTAGGTAAAAACTTCGTACTGTTTACTACTATGAAAAAAATATTAGAAATCCGAAATATTTAGTTTTCGTATTAAAAAATAAACTTTTTTAATCTTGCATTTTTGCTATATATAGATAATGGGTGGAATCTATGGCAAAAATGCAAGGGTTTCAACAAACTAAACAAAGAGAATACAAAAGTAAAGCACTTGTATTTTGCTATACAATATGCTTTACACACTATTCCTCTACATGTATGTATCACGAAATAACTATTAGGTCTTTTACACGCCTTACAGTAATCATTTTATATAGATTATAATTTATGATAATGCTACTTGTTACACACACAGTGACAAATCGATTCAACTCACAATAATTTCATTAATATTAACAGTAAGAAGCTGAAATTGTAACTCAATACTAATATAACATAAAGGCATGCAACAGAGTTGCGAGAAAATGATCTCCACTCCTTCTATTTTTTCTCACTTCCGCGGCGTAAATCCCAGCGCGGCGTATATACCAGAGTTACCCTATATAAATTACATGTTGAAATGATAAGCTATCGTTTATTGACGAATGGAATATTTTCCAAGCTTCTAAATAAAAGATTTAAAAATTAATAAAATCAGTAGTAACACACAATACAATAGATTTATTTACAGAGAAGTTATTTATAGAGAAGAAACAATTTGTTATATTTTCGTGTTGCATAACTAATATTAGATTACCAATCAGATATAAGAATCACTTGTAAATTCTGAAATAAAAATTAGAATTTTCATTATTCTTCTAAATAAAAAGATAGAATAAAATTTTTTATGGCGAGAAAAGATCTTTGAATAAATTAACGAACAAAGAAATCTATGATCATTATTGCGCGCAAATGCTTATCAAATAGATATGAAGCTGAAAATGAAGATGAATCATATTCATAATTTATAAGACTCACTTTAAGTACAAGACCATATATAAAATTAGTTCTGTGAATTATTATTTTAGTCACATTTAACATTATAGCTTTTATTTTTTCATTTAAGACAGAATGATTGAGAGAGAGAGAGCTAGAGAGAGAGAGAGAGAGAGAGAGAGAGAGAGAGAGAGAGAGAGACAGCGTACATGTATGAAAAAATAGAAAGTACAGAAAAATTATTTTATATCTCGCCGTCATCACGAAATAATTAATAAAAGATATTCGATACATATAGAGTTGTGAGTTAGAGATCGTTTGGCGTTGTATCGGACACTTATGTATCAACTGAGGAAAGATAAATTAAAATTTCTCGATATTTCTGAGAATATAGAAAAAATATCTATTTTTTATCTTTATAAACACATCCAACATTTTATCACATATTGCAATATCTTTTTCCTATTAAACTTATTAAAAGTTCTGTATTTATATCTTCTATTGCGTAATAGCAATACATAAATACAAGCACAAAATTGTACACTTGCAGATTAGCCAACTGTGAGACGTTTTGTCAAACAGTTGACTAAAATGCTGCGCTTTATAGCAGAAATGTCGGATCGGTAGGATAACCATATCATCTGTGGGTTGCGGTCCGATTCATACTCATAACATTCATGGAATAATTTCGTTCTTGCTATTTATCAAAGTTAAACAGGGACAAATGATGCTCGTGAGCGTGTAAGTATGAATCGAACTGCAGCCCTAAACGCGCCCACTACAGTATATGCGTCACTGACGATCGATTCGGTTGTTTTACCACATCGTCACATACATAGTTTGTACACTAAAAAAAACATTTTAAATTTTAATAAATCATTTATTTGAATAGTCCTGACTAAATAAAATACTTACTAAATATGAAAATATATTTATTTAGTACAAGAACTGTTAATTTAATTTAACAACCTTTTTTTAATTGAATAAATATTTATTTACTGCAAATAAATGTTTAGTTGGCTCTGTTCAAATAAATATTTATTAAAA